AGAATCATCCTGATCTTATGTTATTCGCTTTATTCTTTTTGAAGCTGTTCGATAAAAAAATCGATCCTCTTCAGTTCGCCAACTGTTTCAGCAAGCAACCGCTGCTTCGGCACCAGGGGCCGGACCGAGCGTTTGCGAAAAAATCAGCGCTACCCTGTACGATGCTCTGCTGCATTTCCGCAACAAATCAAAGGTTTCTGAGCGAACGATTCTGGTCAGTTTAGTGCGCGAAATTCCCAGTTCTCGTCAGTCGAGGTCTGAATGTTTGCTATGATACGTTGCACCTGTTCGTAGATCTGTTGTCGCTGCTGGTCAGATGCGCTGCATAAATCCCGTACTGGAATCATATGTTGATAAAAACAGCCACCGCGCAAATTATCGCAACATCCCAAAGCAACGATTTCTGCTGCTGCGTTGGCTGGATTTCGCATTATTGGCTTTAAAATTCGGCGAATTAGCAACTTTGTGGCAAAATTAACATGCTGATACAGTCCACTGGCGACACATCCTGGATGCACAGCGACAACTGTCGTGCCCCGACTGCGCGTGGATTTTGCAAAAATGCTGTTCAGTTCCTGGGCATAAAAAGCAGTGGCAAGTTTCGAGGTCGCATACGCTTCGTAGCCATTCCGGAAGTGGCCGCAGAAAAATTCCGGGCTTTCGATCGGAAAACGCCTAAGATTTCCCAGATGGGCCGTGATCGATGATACGAAAACAACACGACTCCCCAGTTCCGCCAACGATGGAAGTAAGAAATGCACGAGAGTAGCATGAGAGAGTAGGTTCACGGCTTGGTGGATTTCGATGTTGGAGGTGGTGGTGGTGGTCGAGCGTGATTCCAGCATTACACCCGCATTGCAAATAACCAGATCGATGGAGGTAAATTGCTTGGCCAGGCACATAGCCAGGCTTTTGACTTCTGCAAGATCAGCTAAATCCACACGTCGAACGATGAGATCAGCATACATCATTTCGCGCATTGGGAAGTTGTCGTAGCATCCATTACCAACCAAACATATGACCTCAAATGAAAAAGAAAGATTAAAAAATTAAAAAAAAAAATCAATCTAAGGCGGAAGGGGATATTTTCTGTGTTTAATAACAAAAAGGCTTTAAATCTTTTGCAGTTAAAGGAAAAATAAATGGCAACGCGCACCAGGCTAGCCGGTGCGATCATGCGTTTTGTGCAATTCAG